AACTTGTCTCAATTTGGTTTCTGGTGTCAGATAACTTGTCTCAATTTTTTTGTGGGTGTCAAAACCGCTCAGTTTGGTTTTGGGAGTCACTGAAACCTTCTAAAAACGTACAAAGCGGGCTGAGGGTGGTAGAATGTGTTCGACGTTGGTCACAAATTAATTGAGTCAAACAGGAAACAGGAAAAAACTCTGCCATTTCTTTTTCAAACGCATGCTAAAATTGTCAGTGAGATTGAAATTGAAAATGTTCCTGTGTTCTTGTAGTTCTCTCCATAATTTAGTAGCGCTCAAATTTAGTGTTGAGGATGATTCTCTGCGACTACCACACCAAGTTTTAGCGCAAACCTTTATGTGCAAAATGTTTTTTCCTACATCTAATTCAGTCTGGAGGAAATTAGAGTTGACCTTTAAAACTTTGTTTTGGATCATTGTAGCTTTTTGTGCCACCTGTCTGACAGCAGATGACCACAAAAAGTCATTTTCTGGGCATTTTTGATGAATATGCAGAGTTGGTGACATCTTGAACTTGAGGAGAGACACCAGCTTTGTGTCCAATTAAATTCTTTCCTTCTAAATGTCACATTTCAGCAGCGATGGTCCAGAATGGTGCAGTGAGACCATTAAAGCTGCTGGAGGTATCGCAGGCTTCATTCAGTCAGAGACACCAGGTGAAAGATGGAGGAGTCAGTCAAATGCTGGACAAACAGGATGAGGGCGAGATTTTACATCAAACAAGAATCTAATTAGAATTTGAAAATGGTGCCAAAGCAGGAAAATCAGTTTAGAAGAAGCAGAGACAAACAGGAGCAGAGAGGAAAGATCAGATGGTCTGAATCTGAAGGAGGGACGTCAGACGGCCGTCACAGTTTCAGTTCTTTAAGAGAATATTCTCTTTTGTTCTCTTAGTCTATCCCTACAGTGCGCTCTTTACTTCCTGTTTTGTTTTGTTTTGTTGTAAATATGTAGTTTCCTGACCTTTGTCACAGCCAATCCTGTTTTGTAATCAGCATACCTGTAATTTCAGGTGTTCTTCGCCTCATCACTGGGGTGTTTGTCCAAGTTTTCTTTGTGTTACCTATGAGTTTATTCTGTGTTTCCTCCTGGTTTCCTCAGTGTTTCTTTAGTGTCTCCTCAGTGTTTCCTCCTAGCTTCCTCCTGGTTTCATTAGTTTTTTCTTTGTGTTTTCTCCAGGTTTCCTGAGTGTTTCTTTAGTGTTCATTCTGGTTTTCTTTGTGTTTTTTCAATATTTCTGCCTGGTTTCCTCAGTGTTTCCTTTGTGTATCATCTGGGTTTCCTTATTTTATTTATTTATTTATTTTTTAATTTTCCTCTTGGTTTCCTCAGTGTTTCTTTAGTGTGTCCTCCTAGTTTCCACTTGTTTCCTTAGTTTTTCCTTTGCGTTTCCTTCTGGTTTTCTTAGTGTTTCCTCCTGGTCTCCTCAGTGTTTCCTCTTAATTCCGATCTGGTTTCCTTATTGTTTCCTCAGGGCTTCTTTAGTGTTTCCGTGGTGTTTTCTCCAGGTTTCCTTAGTGTTTCTTTAGTGTGTCCTCCTAGTTTCCACTTGTTTCCTTAGTTTTTCCTTTGAGTTTCCTTCTGGTTTCCTTACTGTTTCCACTTGCTTCCTCGGGGTTTCCTTACCTCAGTTTTTTTCTGCATCTTCCCTGTGTTTCTCAAAATGAATTTACAGGAGAACATTTTGTTCAGGATAGAAATCAAACCTGGCGGTCTCGTTTTGCTCCCCGTCTCTAGATGTTCTGAACCCATCTGGCCCGGTCCACTTTCATCACCTCCGTTATTTTAAACATTTTCCTCTAATGGTGAGCGCAGCAGTGATCATTGTTGGTGTTTTTTCTAAAGTCAGGTGGATTTTAGTGTTTTTTTTTAATCGCAGCAGCTCTTAATGATCTCTGCTAGTTTTGGCTTGGGTCCACCTGGCGTCACACAGAACCTGCTCCCTCTGCCAGAACCGCCCTCACTGAGACACTTTGGCCTCGTTCCTGCTCAGTTTCAGTGTGAGCATCCCCGCCAGCCGCCCAGAGTGACCTTCCCACTTCGTCTTCATCCGAAACAAAAAATCATCTCTTTAAGAGGCGCTCCGACGAACCGTCTGTGTCTCCCCCTCCAGCCCACATCTGCCTCCCTCAATCTCTCTCTGCCGCGCTGCGTGGAACATCTCCAGCCGTGCTCGCGACAGCGCGTCGTCCCGGGGTCCGGTGTCTCTGCCGAGCACCGGGTCCGGCGGGACCAACAGCGAGTCGTCGGGTGTGAAGGTCGTGACCTCTGAGTGCCTTCATATCAGTGGAGCCGTCCTGCTCCAACAGATTAAATCAGGATGTTGGGCAAGTTGTTAGGATTAACCAGGAGTGCGCGTGCGTGTGTGTGTGTGCGCGCGTGCGTGTGCGTGTGTGTGTGTGTGTGTGGTCCTAGAAAGCCAGCTGTACTTGTGTTGGAGCCACGGTCAGGTCATCTGGCTGTGGAAAATATTCTTCAGTCTATTTTTTGCCTCCGTGTTGCGTCACCCCTCCGGTTCCAGCAGCATCGATTCTGTCGATCATCTCCAGCAGCTCTTCTGTCACACCGAAGCCACAGGTTTGATCTTTTGTTACGGGCTGCCAGTGGCTCTTCCAAACCCGTCTCGAGCTCAGCACATGCACGCTGGGCGACGTGCGCCTCGGCAGCATCGTGCCGCAGTTATTTTCAGACGCTGTGCTGCTGCTGCTGCTGCTGCTGCTGCTGCCAGGAACACGGCTGGAGGAAACTTCACGTTCTTTACTTTCCTGCAGGCGTTAGAGCTGCTGGATTCTTTTGAGCAACTGAAGAAACAAAAAGAGGAGCTGCGGCGGCCATGTTGAATCAGTCCGACCCATAGTTAGTCATGTATACGCCCATCCACTGATTACTTTTGTAGTTTTTGTTCAAATCCATCCTGTCACACATACGATGCTAACAAGCTGACAACTTTTGGAGTGAATCCAGTTTTATGATGGCTGCCACAGCTAGTCAACATTAGCCAACACACAAGTGGTTGCACCTCTACAGATACTGAACTCTAATTTGGTGTGGTAGTAGCTGAGTCATCCTCAACACGTGCTCTGAGTGCTCACAGATCATTCAAGGTCTTTGAATAGACAAATACGGAGGAAAACGATGCGTGATGTGCGTTCTTTAAAGAAGGCTAGGTCGATAATTTACCACGAACTGTCTCTTGACTCCTGGTGTCAGTTTACAGCCACTCACTGAGACTTAACAGGCATGAAGCAGAACCAGGACAATAACATGAAAAACTTGTTTTCACACTCAGAAACATCATGAACAGTGAGAAACATCGTAAACAGTAATGAACATCGTAAACAGTGAGAAACATTGTAAACAGTCAGAAACATCGTAAACAGTAATGAACATCGTAAACAGT